TCCACGGTCCGACTTTGGAAATAATTATGCATACAATGGACTCAGGACAAGGTGCGTTCCTCTAAGTCTTGATACCAATATGACCAAGTTGCGAAAACAGGGTCAAACAACTTTTAAACAATATTTGTTTGGAGTAGCGTTTGAATCTATCAATAATGCTAGAATGGGAGATCGCATAAGGTGATATAAGAATGGTGATTGGATTTATCCCACAATGATATGCGTGCGTCTCACTTCTTCATCAAATTTGACTTGGCTTTGATTTCTAAAGATAATTTTATCCAGACCGGCCTGCAATTTCGACCTGAGAGCTAGACCATCTTAAAAGCTTAGACCAGCCTGGATGAGAATATCCTTTGTTAATCGTATCCAAGTGAAATTTATTGGAAAATTAAAGCCTACTCTTAGCATTGTGGGAATGTATCGCGTCCACGGTCCGACTTTGGAAATAATTATCCATACAATGGACTCAGGACAAGGTGCGTTCCTCCAAGTCTTTCTACCAATACGACCAAGTTGCCAAAACAAGGTCAAACAACTTCTCTACTTATTTTCTTTTATAGTTGAGTATATATAGTGCATGTAAGATAGAACCGGCTTAGCCCGATCCCACCTGAAACGAGGGAGGATGCCTTGTGGAACGTGCCAACCTGAACGTCATACAAAAGTCAGATGGCTAAAGAAGAACGGTTACCAGTCGTCTTCGGCATGCAATTTCATACGAAATGAGCGCCTCCCCAAAACTGGGGAGATCTGGGAAAGTGTATAAATATGAGTGCGCGCGGATACGTGCGCAAGTAAGCGTGTGTGGGTGACCGTCCTAGTTGGGGTATGCAACGGGGAGTGGATGTGAAAGTGTGATCAAGCAACCACGTCCGGTTGAGCCAATGATCATGTGAACGTGGATGTGAATTGCAGATATGAATGGGGCAGCATCCGTCGTCTCCAAGTCGGATGCGACACTTTCACACGAAATCAGGTCCACTCGGCTTAGACGTCATAGACGCTTGTCTTTGTGCTCAGACGGTCTGGCAAATCTTGTGCGCAGGATATGCACTAACGTAAGCCGGTTGCATCACAGGCCGACGAACTATTGACCAAGCAGGAGCATGTAACGAACGCGACAAATTTTGCGACGCCGTTTGTAGCGGCCACCTGAATAGCAAGACGAGTAGAGGACAGAAACTGTCAGGCCGGCACTTTCTGCACAGGCTGGCGCTGGCGCCGGCGCAGGCGCAGGCGCAGGCGCA